TATTTTGGTCGAAATAACAATGAAAGAACAAAATAAACTGTAGTAGCTTTTGGAATAGTTAGATATATATCACATTACTTGAGAAAAAACTCGTAAAAGACTGAAGGAATAAACAGGAAGAAACTAAAGACGAAAAGCGCGCGAAACTGCAGGCCTGCCCAATCTTGCCTGCTTGAATTGTAATTTGTAAATTGTATTGATCGTAACAAATATTCATCCAAAACCTTCACACTAGTTAGTTCTTGCCGAAATAAAGTGATAGAACGGGATCGGAAGCTGTAGGACGACGCAAAATGCAAAAAACATGGTTTTTCCCTATGTTGTTCTATGATTTTTGCCCTGTTGAGCCGCCATCTTGGATTTTCAAAATATGCCACGCCGGGTGAGCCGAGTCAGCAATCTAGGTCTCCTATATCTATGGCCCCAGCCCTGGGCACGAGGTTGCCAGTGAGGCTAGTCAGTGTTTCCACTTTCAAGGATATTTTGACAAAAAAAAGATGACGCTTCAAGGAAAAAAGAAATCAAGAAAATCTAAAAAAGTTTGAAAATTCTAAGGGAATTCAAGGAATTTTTAATCACCTGAAACGTTTTGAACATTCTTTCAAGAACCTTTTGTTAATTCTAGATTATATTTCTTCGTTCGCTCATAACCAATATGTCCTCATGCAAAAATAAAAATACCTCTTTCGGAGCCTGTGTCTGAGTCAGTAGAATCTAGAATTATTAATTAAACTAATTAAGTAGGCGGCAACGTTCTGCGTGCAGGCCACCACGTGTTGGCTGTCATGTGAATTTATATGAATTTCTTTGTCATTTGAATCTGCTGACTATTGATAACAATATTAAAACTCTAGTATTTACATTTTAAAGCTTTCAAAACTGTTGTGTAAACGCTTTCTTTTTAAGATTTGTACGAAAGAAATATACCATTTTGTTTTTGTCTTACTCTATATAAGGGAGTGGTTATTATTTATGGGGAGCTGGGGGTTGGTAAATGGGAAAAATAAAGATTGAAAACTTTTTTTGACCCCCCTACAGACTGAACGCAAGCTTTTTGTGCCTCCCCCTCATAACAGTAGAAACTTTTTTGCCCCCCCTGCCTAATGTCAATTGAAAAATTAACAGCAATGAAACAGGTGTGGTTGCAGGTAAAGTTAAATATTTGGACAATCTGTTTAATCTAGCTTACGATGTTTTACCCTGGTTAATATAATTCAACCATATATGATTAAGAAATATATATTATTTGTTACTACTCCGCAATGCAACATTTGTCCTACCATAACCCTTGACCATAACCCTAACCCATGGGCTGTCTTCATACAGCGAAATGATTTGAACTTGTCAGGGGGGGGGGCATCTACCGGATACCATACTGATTGGGTGTGGAGAGATGACAGATGGTATTGTCCAGAAATTATCTTCACACTTTCCGGTCGAATTGTATGGAATAGAAGTGGTATAACGCTTCCCAGAGTGTGAAAGAGCCATATGCCAAACATAGGAGACTAGAAACAAGAAAAAAGCACGGGAACAGTCCCCCGCATTCCATGTGGCGGAGCCCCCAGCACTCTTCTATAACTAGCAGTAATGAATTCTAAGAAACTATCAAGATCTCGGAGTTGTCAGGCGGTGATCGCACTACGACCGCAATGCATTATTTTGGATATTTTCTTCAAGATGGCGGATTTCGAGCACAATGAAAGGTATGTTGGCGCTCTATTTTCTGCCACGTTTTAAAGTTTAAACTTTTTGTTTTTTCTTAAAAAGGAAGTTGCATGTAATATTGTTATGCTGTGTTACTTTTCAAATCGATAATTTTTGGAATTCGATAAAAAAATATCATTTGATTGTAAGCTCATGTATTTTTCCCAAATACACTGGTCTGTTTACTTTTTCATGTCACAGGTTAACCGTTCACACATCACATTTAAAATTGCAATTGGCATAATCTATGATCATTATTTGTGACCATATTTAATGGCGCCCCTTGGCGCCCCTCAATATTGTATCTTTTTGGGGCTTTTAAATCATGATATTTCCTTTGCTAATTTCAGGTCTTCTTGTCCAGAGTTCATGTTCTCCTGCTATTTTGGGGAAGCGTTCGTGCATCCCAAAGTCCCATACGCCAGGCAAACAAAAACCAAAGCGGCAAAGAAATAATAAACGCAAAAGAGAAGCAAAAAAAACATTTTCAAATGGAAAAAATAATGTGTGTCAAAATGAGCAAGACCAATGGCAGACTGTTGGACAACCAAAGAGGCGAAGAACAGACTTTAATAATGGGACTGTTTCATATTTGACAGGACCAATGACTGTCTGGTGGTGAAAACCATTTGTGCTTGTTGGAACTGTTTCTTGTATTATAGTCAGTTGGAGCAACTGGCAATGACTCAGTAAACTTTTCCTTGGTTAATTTTAGATGTGTTAAAATTTTTGCCATTTCCACCAAGTTACCCATACCATTTGTTTGTAGCTTTAAATAGCACCTGAAACATGACATGCATACTGTAGTCCACATTGCTGCAAAATGCCTTACTACGGATGTAAATATAACACAGATACATGTACAGGCATAATACAGATAGTGTCTCACACAAATAGTGTACAGCATTATACCCAGGCATTCACCAAGTCAATGTTGAAAATAATAGTTCTGTGTAAATTTTACCCCACCCAGGCCAGCCCATTAAAAGCAGTACACCCATGTCAATAGTTGCACACAGTGTATTAATTATGTTATGGTATGAACTACTTTGCATAATTATATATTTGAACAGCCAGGCTGACCTGGTTCCCAATCTGAAAAAGTTTTCTCCCTATAAACACAAACTGGGCTGGCGTGGATGGAAGTTCTAAGAATGATGCTGTGAGTAATGTAGAAAAACTGTTAAAACACTGTAAACCCACTACACTTGTGCTGTTTATAAAGCATATACAATCACAATAAATTTGTTATTCATATATTTTATAACACTTCATTGAACAATGTTTTACTAAGTCTATACATGACCACCATCATCATTGAAATGCAAACAAAAACATCCCATTTTAATTATTGTTATACATGCTGTACCTTTTTCACACTGATATAGAGCATTTCCACATGACGTCACAGCTACCATGTTGGTGATCTTGTCTGGAACAACAACATGGCTGCCATGGCTTTTGTTGAGTTGGCCTGTGGGAAATGAGTGCAAACGCTCTATACAAGCAGGTCTGAATCTTCAGACACTGCAAAACCGCAGCCTCAAATCAAAGCGCCTAATCAAATTCTAGTGAGTGGAAGGCTAGAACAAAGTTCTTGAAAACTAGATAGTATGTGGTTCAATTTAAACCACATCATTTTTCTTACTCTCCATATATTGTTATGCAAGGTGTTTTTCTGCCAGCTGCAAATTGCCATTGCAATGATTTTTTGTTACTTAGGCGCTACCACAGATGAGGTAGGTACAGATGTGAATCTTCCGTCAAATTGCTGATTGTTTTGTGTCACACGGAATTCTCACTTCCAGCGAGTGCTGCAAGTGTCGTTCTGAAATTTAATAAGGAAAGAGATAGGAAAACGCCGTTCGAAAGACGAAAAATTGTTTTTTTAAAAAGTCTATGCTACCGACGGCTATTTTTGGAATTAATTCTTCAAGAGTAACGGTAAGCGATCACTTTTATTGATTTCTTTTTATTAAAAGTGTTAATATAACATTTTATTTAGCAAAAGTTTGTTTTTTTCCCTATCTACTCCTTATTAAAATCGAGAAATACACTTGCTGGGAATTTCAGATGCTCATGTATAATAACAAAACAGCGAATGATATAAATTCCTCAAAACATAACTCTGGCATAAAAAAAAACATGAATACTTCTATAATATGTATAGTTTTATTTCTCTGCATTATCAAAATTTAATAAAATAGTGAATTAATACAATTTTAAAGTTTATTTAATCGGTGTGACATAATTTGCCGCGAGATTCACATCTGTATTTACCTCATCTGTGGCGCTACTGTATTTATATGATCTTGGATACTAGAGACACCCAATCCACCCGAGACAACTTTACTGCACATTTAATCTCTTCCTACGAGAATGGCTCTAAGTACGAGATTGTGACTCCTGAAACATGCAGTTATTTGTTTGAAGGTCTGGGAATCAAGGAATGAAAAGTTATCCATGGAAGCCGAGACAAACATGTAAACACATGGACAAAAGTTGTCCCTCCTACAAGGGTAACCCTGTTTCGTCAATAGGGTGTCCCTACTGCCAGGGTGACCCTACCAGTCCAGATGAGTTGAAAACTTTCCATATAAACACTTGCATTTAAATGTTATATAATGAATATAATTTTGCCTCTCCCAGGGTAGCTCGGAGGGTAGAGAGTCTCCCTAGTACCCGAGATCATATAAACAGCACCTCAGTCACATTATTATCCCCTACCCCTCAACATCTCTATTCAATGTTGCATAATATTTACAATATTTGTGATCATACCAAAAATTGAATTGGCATGGCATACAAACCATGTGAAGATTATGATTTTCATCCCATAGTTTTTAGGTAAGATTGTGTAGTCAAACTATAGAAATTGTGACCTATGATGGCATTGGAAGTACTAAAATGATGGGAAAATTCTATTAAAGCATAACTAAAATTACATGGGATTTTACAGTAGCTTGTATATTGTATATGAGAAGGGTCTATTTAGCGGTTCTAGCTTAAAACTCAAAAAAAGTTTTTTTGTTTTTTTTCCCCAAGTTTTTTTCTAAGTTTTTTTCTAAGTTTTTTTCTAAGTCTTTTTTCCCCAGGTTTTTCCAAGTTTTTTCCAAGTCTTTTCCCAAGTCTTTT